GTTCGTCCCGTGTGCCAGCGCCGCGCGCGCGCGTCCACCACGCGAGTTCCGGCCTCCCGAGCAAATTTTCGCGCGCTGTCGCCCGTTTTTTTTTTTTTTTAATTTTTTTTTCCAAACGAATTTTTTTCGGCCAGTCCGTGTGCGCTTAACCCGCACTTCGGAGGAAAATTGTTTTCATATTTTTCATCGACTCGCCCCGAAGAACTCCATCGACCGCGCATCCACACACGATGGCAAGTATACATTATTATTATAATTTTTTTTTTCTGACCATACACTCTACGCATCGCACTACGCGGTGATTATTATCAACGGTTTTCTCAAAACGTTTTCATTTTTATAGACATCACCCTAGCCGGTTTTAAAATTGTGTTAAATATGTTATTATTATTTTTTTTTTTCTTAGTTTTCTTAATTCAGTATTTTCAAACACTAAATAACATGTTTCTATAACAGTTGTATATATCAGTATAATACGTGATCTGCGATATTGATCTAGTACAAAAATCTGTTTCCAATTAATTTTACGCGATTTTTGTGTAAAAATTGTTTCCGAAGTAGAAACTTTTGACTTCGATAAAATTAGTTTAAAAAAAAGGGGTCGACAAAACTATAAACTTGTTGATACCCGATTTAAAACTTTTTATAATTAATACATCTGCGGTTGAACACGGTTTTATGTTCAAACATAAGTTCAGTGTGAATTTTGTTGGAAACAATAATAAAAAAAAAAAAAAAATATTTTAAACAGCAGTGTGAATGTTGGTTTATACGCGTAGTTCGTATGCACTTAAGACTTTGTACAAATAGTTATTTACGATGTGCGTACAACGGACTACTATTTTATAAGAATGTTCATCATGCTGTTGCATTTGTAACAGCAGATGCATATTTGTATATAAATTAATCAACAACTCGCCCGACCCACGACGGATATACGCGCATATAGCACACTTGTGACACTTGTAGTGCGATCCTTGCACGCGAGCAAACCTACTCAAAAGACAACGGGGACATAATGGGGATTTGAAACGCAAAATATAACGACCGTATGAATAATCTGAGACGTTATGCATTTGCGCAGGACATCGATGCTGTCTACCAAAAGTACGTGGCGTGCATCCTGGAGGACGTGCGAGCCATCCACGGGAAAGAGATGGTGGCCACGGGCAGCCCATCTGTGTTCTGTTCCGTTCTGCCCGGCCACTGGCGGTCCAACAAATCGCTTCCGATACCGTTCAAAGTGGTCGTGTTGGACGAGGTGCCCGACGGCGCTGTCGTTGTCGTGCAAGCCGGCAACGACGAGAACCCATCGGCCGACATGCGGAACTACCGAGCCTTGTCAGCCACCGGCGTGGCCGTCTTCAACGATTTACGGTTCGTCGGCCGCAGCGGAAGAGGTTTGTATGAGATATTATTTTACATTATAAATCTTATCTAAATCATTATAAATCCTGTACGAATATCCGTTAAAGCGATATTCGCGTTTAGCAGAATATGGAGATGTTATTAAATCTAATTTTTTAAAAACATCTAATTCAAATGTCATGTATATCATTAATACTAGATATCTATCATATTTTGAAATTTGAAAATTTAAAAAAAAAACTTGATTTCATACGAATAAAATACTTGTAGGTTTTGTTTCGCATATTATGTTGCAATATTTAATCATCTATACAATGTATTCTTTTCAATTTCATATTGGTATTTGATTTTCGTTATTGGTACTAGTTAATATTATTTTACGGCAGTGCTGCATTTTTTTAAAACGACTAAAGATTTACAGTAAATTTATACGTGCATATAACCACATATAGAGTTATATTTTAGTTTTGCAATCATAACATATTTTATTTTTTTTATTACATTACGTTTGCAGAGCAAAAGTTAATTGTTATTATGTATCTATGTGTATATATATTTGCTGTATGGAGAGTATATAAAAATTCGATTTGTAATTTTTTTTTTAGGTAAATTGTTAACGCTCACCATCACAGTTCAGTGTAAAGATCAAGTAGTATTAGTAGCCAACTACGTGAAAGCCATTAAAATCACTGTCGACGGACCAAGACTTCCTCGGTCAAATCATAGAGGTAAATTATTACTAATATCGTTTAAAATATTAATTTAGTTATAAACAGTTATGTATAAATATTTGTAATTTAACTTGCGTGAAATTTTTTTTAAACATATATAGGTGTGGCATTGTCTTATTTTAAAATATATTAAACAAAAATTAAAAAAAAAAAATTATCCATTCAGATTTTTAAATAATAAAAGTTCTACATACAATCAAGTTTTATATTTTAGAGCGTATATTTTATTCTTCTTCTTTAGTTTAACGTAATCTTGAAACAAAAAAAAAACCCAACACACTCACATAATATTTTTTACTCTCGTAATTTTAGATTAAAATTATATACAGTTGACAATAGTTTTTTCATCCCCCTCGCTACAGTCATTATGACAAACGGTAGAGCCGCGCAGAGGGTTAAGACCCTTTGCTTTTGACACGCGGCCCATACTCGTTAAAACATATATTATTTTCCCAATTTCGAGTTATTTCTACGAAGAATCATTGATTTTTGACATAATGGGGAGACAAAATTTTCATTTAAGTGTACACTATTTCAATACGCTATTTTTATAAAACTATGTATGTATAATATATTATTACGTGCATATACGTACGTAACATATTGCAATAGGAGAGTGATCGCACGAGCACTATTATATATTCTATGTACACATATTCGATATAAATTGACGTTTTTCAACAGCTCGCTGTAACATTAGTCGATGTTTAATGAATTTAGGCCAGCAAAATATACAAACCGAAATCGACATTCTATTAATTATATTAACACATGCACCATTTCAATACCACAGCCAATCACGTGAACTAATTATATCGCTGTCCATTTGCTGTAAAACTGTAGTTTCATACTTTTGACATTGCATTTCGATACTTTATTTCGGAACGACGTATTCGATTAAAGAACGGATGTATATGCGCAAATCTACCGATTTCTTTTGAAAACGGCTAATTTGCCTATATGATTATGTTGTTGTTTAGATGTGACACTTTTTTAAATCCAACCAATATAATTACAAGTTAGATTAGATAAGCTAACCCTAACTTAACCTAACCTAATCTGAAGATGCTTAGAAATATTTATATAATATCTGAAAACTATATAAAGTACCAATACATATGTTGTGTGTGTCATTGTCTATTAACCTATTCAAAATAAGGTAATATAGATTAACATTTTTCGTGAGAAATATTCCTTATTGTTGAGTTTTTTTTATAAAATACTTGTACAAATAATAAATATAATTATAATTGATTTTTTTATAAGTATATAACTGCAGTTTAGGATTATATAATTATATAGAAAGATCAAATCTTCAAAGCCTGCAGTTCAACATATTACACATTAGTTGTATATTAACACGTTAAATCTCCATCCTGTGATCGGTAGAAATTCAAATACACCATATCGTGCACTAAAATTTATAATTAAACTATTTCATTCACTATACATTTTAATGCAATCCTCACATGATTAGAAACTGCTTACTATGTTGCACGTTATCTCTATACACGTTGCGTGCCCTTACGAAATTTAATCCAGTTATACTTTCATCACTTACTGAAACTTATTATAATATGTGCTGAATGATTTCAGAAATGAAAGAATTAATTCTTCTTTTGTCGTTACTTATTTATTTATTTTTTGGCAAAATTATTGTTTTACTGATTCGTGTACTATAAATGTATAACTTGAAAAAAATATCGTTTTCAAGTGAGAGAAAGTACAAAAATTCCAATTGCTAACGACTTGAGTTCCGGTCGGAAAGAGCTGATAGCGAGGATTTAATGGCCAACAACCGTTTTCTCATATAAACTCTTGGGCGGATATTACAGCCACTGACCGATGGTGGTTATTTCCATGAAACATATATAAAAGTAGGAAAAGTAGGACGGCATGGAAAAATTGTCCAAATGCACAAATTCTATTTCCGACGCGAAAAATACATTAACATACGCGTACGTGCAAAAAAAAAAAAGGTATAGTGTGTCAAACTCATTGGGTTGCAATAACGTTAACGAAGGTACGGAAAGACGTCACAGTGAACAAAAAAAAAGTACAAAATACAAAATGCCTAAAAGGGTTTTTGTTCATGTGTGGGATTATCTGGTAGTCGTCGTGGTAGTGCATTAATCATCCGCTGGTCTTTCGCTGGAAAAGGTTATACATATATTTATATGTGTTATGTATATGTATAATACCTACATAGATATACACTACGTGCTGGTGTAGATAATGAAAGACACATATACACACTCATAGGACGTGAAGTTGATTGGGGAACCCCTTTTGCTTTTCCCCCTCTGTACAGAATCCACTCGGGTTTTTTTATTATGTATTAACGCAATTAACACAAACGGACATAACTGTACATGGATAGTCTCTTTTTTTTTTATTTTTTAGGGTAAATTTTCTCCCTTCAAATTGATTAAGTAGTCTCGGGAATGCTTAATGAATCCATTCGTGCATATTACCCACTTCGTCCACAACGATGACCATTTGTATCAATCAATTGTTTCCTCGATTTTATTTTTTTCACTTGTTTTTTCATATTGTATATACACACACACGTTCGAAATTGCCCCAGTATCCTCTCTCTCTCTCTCCCTCTCTCTCTCTCACTCTCTCGTTCGTACAATATAAAAAGCAGCCCTTTTTAATTATTTTCGAGTTTTTACCCGAAATCACTCCAACTGTCCAGAGAGCTTCTCGTTAATAATAAATTACACAAAGAACCTTATCGATTTCATACACATGACTTTATGTTTATATATCAAGTTATAAAATACAAAACTTATGTTGAATTTAAAAACAAAGCATATAGGACTGTGTATCTTATACCTATGAGTATACAATACTATCCATCTACTTTTTTTTCGGTTTTGCATCGACAGCGACTCTATCTATCTACTTCAATAATTTCATAATTTCGCATTTTTCGACAGATAAATTATTTTAAATAGAAAAAAGGCCGATTGATTATTATATAACATCAAACGATTTTTTGTACAATTTGTTTTTATTTGCTACAAACATTATATCATGTCTCATTACAATATGTACCATAACATTATAAACATAAAATTAAAATTTTCCTAGTTTTTACAATATGTTATTTAAAAAACTATGTTGTATTCATTAATAATGTAAAATAAATATTTTATACACATTGACGCATCCATAAAATATTGACCATATGTTAGGTTTGTTACATGTTTATTAAAAAAAAACGTACGTTTTAGATTATTCACTTGTCACCAAATGGTAGTTTTTGGCAATTATCCGATAAAAGTTTACAACGTACATAAATTTGAACTGCAAGTCGAGATTTTCACTGACGTGACAAAATAACAAGAGGTAGCAAACTGTTGTGCGGAAACACACGAAGGGCAGGGAAAGTATCCTGTCGCTTGACTGTGTACAATAGAGTTCACTAAAAAACGTCCCTTTAACACAGAATCGCACAAACAATAGCTCCTGGTTTAGTCAGCTATTGTAACCCGTTGGCAGGAAGGCAAGCAGTGGAGTGGAAGGATGACGGGCTCAGTAGTAGTGGTGGCGGCGGTGGTGGTATATATGGTAGTGGTAGTGGTGGTAGTGTTGAACACTGCTGGAGGGATGGTTGACCGGGGGTCGAGGGGTGAGGTTTACCCGAGTAGTAAACATTTGGCCATAAAACTGACCCTCTTATGTCCCGCAAAAGGGGTAAAAATTACAATAGATTTCGGGGTGCGCAGGGATTTTACGATAAGCTCTCGGGGCTTAACCCGAACCCCATCCGTCGACCACCCTATTCACAACGCATGCATCATGCCTTATGCCGCAGCATCGGCCATTAAAATCCGGTCGAAGTGAGGAGCGAGGGTGAGTGTGTAAGAAGGGAAGGGGATGAAGAGAAGAGGGGAGTTCACAGTGGCATCCGTTAATAATTTAAAGCGCAATTAAAATCGATACTGCACGCTACACGTGAAGAAAATGTGCATTTCACTTCCAATTTTTATCATTAAAAAAAATTTACATACGGGCGATTATCATTGGAAGTGCGTAGTTGATTTGCAACTACTAAATATATACTGAATGACTTTTAATCCCTTCGGGGGAGTATATGGATATTTGTCAAAATACGCACTATATAATATGCTCGTTTGAACCGTCGATTTGACATGCTCACCTCGGACATGATAACCGCGAACGGATCGTTAACACAGTTATGTCACATAAGATGTACAGGAAAATAAAACGAAAAAAATTTATTATCCCCGTGTGTGTGTGTATGTGTTTCAGACGTGATCCACGGTTACGGCGGTATGTTCCCCATGCACGGGCCCTTGCCACCTTACGGCATGATCATGGAGTACAAGCGGCTGCTGGAGGGCGCAGCGCTGCCTGGGTCGCTCAACTACCAGTACATAGCGGCCAATTACTTCCAACTTCACAGTAAGTGTGCAAAACCTATACGTATATATTTACATACGCGTGCATACGGTGCATGTACATGCGTGCGTGTGTGCATAGATGATTTACGCGTGCAGTAGGAAAATCGTGGCGGCGGAAGGGTTTTCGCGGCCCCTTGTCGCTCACTGCTGCTGCAGCAGTTCAAACGAATAAAGCAAATCGAATTTTCCGTTTGAATAGGCGATTCCGAAAACAAAATGTAAAAAAAAAAAAATGAAAAACGTGCGTGAAAAAATGAAAATAAATCTAATCCCATTCGAGGAAATGTTATATGTGTAGTGCGCGAAAACGAAGCTAATTTTTTTTCCTCCCTTTTCGCAGACGCCATGGAAGCGTCGCAGATGTACTGCGACATGCCACCCCAGTCGGCGTTCAACTTTGCCGGCTACAACCACAGCATGCCACCCACGCCTCCTCACACCGAGGAGGAACCATCGTCCGTGAAGGCCAGCACGCAGGACGACTGCGACCGCGGCGTCGCGCCCTCCAAACGACCCGCGGCCGGCTCGGTACCCACCGTGACCTGCGCCGCGGCACCGTTGGCCACGGCCTCACCGGCCAGTGGCCGGCTTCACCAAGAGCCTAAGCGGCCTAAGCGTGAGTCGGAGCCCACGCCGGACATCGACATTGTCAATGTGGCCGTCGTCCGGTCGTCCAGTCCGGAAGTGCTGAAACCCCGGCAGGAGAAGATCTGGAGGCCGTACGGCGCCACCGACGAATAGTGCCGCGTACCCGTCGGACTGTGTAAATATAAGAATAGGTACAAGAAATCGTATGTGTAAAAATCGGTTTTTTTTCCATATTTTACCAACTATACACACACAGACACATAAACACATACACGTCTCTCTATCTATATGTAAATATATGTATAGACAATCAACGGAGCGTTTAGGTTACGTAATGAATAATTCAATGTTGTGATATTAGCGTTTAGTTTTATAATATAATGTATTAACGTGTAATAATAATATTTAATGATATTATGTAAAAATGATTTTCTATCAGATTACCCGGGGCCTTTTTTCGTTATATGTTTACATAAACTCTATTCGTATTTATTATACATGTGTATGCGTAAAAAAAATATATTGTAAATCAAAGCCGTACGCATGCATGTGTATTGCGAATAAACATGTGTACTCTTCGCCTTTTTCCAAAAATATATAAATACACGAATAAACATATTTGTACTTCTGCGCTGCGCATGCGTACGTATAAAATCGCAGGCAGTTTTTGTGATAAACATGTACATTCTGTTATTAGCGTGTGAATTATTGTTAAACGAAAAAAATTATATTATATTATATTTGAAAAAATTAAAAAATCGTTTGTTTTATTCCCTACGCACCGATTTCGTTGTACATTATTATTGTTTCGACCGCGAACTTTTTTCTCTCGCGGTGGCCTGCAGATGCCTGTCACATGTGACCGTGCGTCGAAGAAGTGTAGGCGATCGCGTTTAGCCGCTGTCGCTGCTTTTGCGGGAGACTAGGTTGGTCTCTGGTGGTGAGTACACGGCTTCGTCCACCACCCCACAAAGAGGGTTTTTGGTAAACCCTCCGAGGGTTGTCGTCGTTATGAGTCATGTACACACACGCGCACACTTACGCGCGCGCATGCAGACACAATGGTGAGGGACCGCTGATTCATGATAAATAAATCTGAAGTATAGGTCCCTTATATTATTATTTGAGAGCAGCGTGTGTGTGCGCGTGCGTGCGTTAGTTTGCAGAACTGAGGGAGTGAACGGTACACGTCGACGACGACTGCTGCTGCTGCTGGCAACGTAAACTATTTTTCACCGCACGTTCTTCTCCCCTTTATCCGCGGCGCTCGCGATCGGTTCGACACTGTTGTACGATTAATATTTATGGTATTGTACATATATACGTGTATATATATATCATGTGTGAACGTATCCGATCGGAGTAATTCTCGATTGGAGAAATAAATACACGCATTGAACTCGAGAAGATCTCGACGGACAAAACGCGCGGGAACAATGCACAAACAGTCGCGGTGATTAATGGGTCAGCGCGGCGGCGGCTTTTTGGCGTCGAAAGCGAAATCACTCGTTCCGGATGGTCCGCGCGCGCGCGCGCGAATACAAAAAAAACAACGAAGAAAAAGACACGGGATCGAAGTGGAAACGATAAAGTTTAGAATCGGTTTTCCGTTTTTACGAACCGTACGTTACGCGCGGCTGCGAGGGTGTGATGCGTGAGGGAAACTGAACATCAGTTCGTCCCAAACTTACGTAGATCATACGGTCCGCATTTAAGTAAAACTACGTGTACCTGCACCAGTTGCTCGTCATACCATGCACCTCTAAAACTTAAACTGTGTAATATTTATACCGGGACGATTCCAAATATAGACGATTTCGGAATATATAATTATATAATTAATAATTATAATTATTATAATATTATTATTATAATATATAATTATATAACTTGGCGCAGGTGATTTATTTTGAGGACGTGGCTCTTAATTCTTGTACAGTAAGAAACGGCTTTTGACCGGCTATCGAGGGTTCATTTTCGAAAAAAAACTGATTCGGTCACATAACCGAAAGATACCATTAATATAACTGCGGTATGTTTAATAATATATAACTAAGTTATATAAGTATAGTTGAAAGAACAAGTCTTGTTCTTTCATCCTTCGCAGTGGTTTCAGCATTTTTGTCCCTAGTCTTAAGTTGCAATTTTTTTTTTTTTTTTACATTATTACTATTCAATAGAGGAATATATAACGATTCAAAAATATTATAAATGTTATGAGTAAAAACTTTTTTAAATTTAAATCTATTATAAATGGGAAATCAAAATTAGATGATACAAAAAATAAAAGTACTTAAGCTCATAAATAAATTCTATTTTTTATGTACATAATAGTTCTTGCATATGTACTCATAATTCAATACGATTTAACACTAACACTATTACAATGTTAATAACAACTATAATATTACAATAGTTTATATATTAATTCCATTGATTTATATAAAAATAACTGTACAACTATTAGAAAATGTAGATACATACGTAAAATGTTCACGCTGTTATACACTTTAAAATCATAAAATGAAATTAGTAGTGAATTTTTCGAAACGTATGAATGAAATATATAGTTATTATAATGCAGTTTGAAATCAGTCGACTTATGAAAACTAGTTCATTCCATTTTTGTTTTTTTCTTTTAATCCCTAGAATTATAATATCCATATTAGCAATATTAATGATTTCCATAATAGTATCACTTCTCAAGCAAAAAAAATTCGGATGGATGCAAGCAAAGACAGATCCACAGTTAGAGAACTGTGGGTCAGGATATTACAAGAGGCCTATTATTGGAGCTGAAACTAAAATATAAATGTGTACCATGTAACAAAAAAAAAAACACAATATGATCATATAATATGTGTTTTTAAGTTTATTCATATTTATTATTGAGAACAATTAACATAACAATTAACAATTAACATTAATTTTATTGTACGGAATCTTACATGGGGTCCGGAATAGAGATATTATAGTGTACTATACAATTAAACCAGTGGAATAATTTTGAGGGGAGGAGGATAGTGACAACTGGAGTATTTGCCCCAGTCAACTATTAACTTACACCTATAAACGACACACTTCAAAAATATAAGAAGTCTTCAAGATACTAATTTTATCAACAAATACTAGTCATTGAATCTCTTCTAGATCCGCCCCTGTATGCATGTACATTTACTATAAAAAAATATATCCATCAACGATCAAACATTTCAATATACATTCGACTATAAGATTAATCCAACTGCAGAATGTAAAACATATTTTTAAATTAATAGGATTAAAAACCAATGGAAATGTTCACATCACCGTGGGTCAGTACATCATACAATAATATGGTAAACCAGCAGGGGATTCGGATTTCAAAAGAAAACGTAATTCATTGAATCGTTACCGACGAGATTTTTTTTTCGGAAATGTAAACATTATAATGTTAAACCGACGTGATATCGTTCGACGTAGAGTCGTTTGTATAATTTTGTACACCTTTTTGGATTATGTATTAAATATTATGCATATAGTTTACAGGAGGTTTATTATGCGTACATACGGGTTATGTCACATAGGACATTCGTTCAGCAGTGTTTACTTTGGAAAAAAATAAAAAATATTAATAATCACACCCGTATGTGTTGTACAAACAAACGAAAAAAATGTAAAAAATGAAATAAAATTCTGAATCGATCGTCGACGAAACCGCGGTGGCCCGCGATGTCACTTTTTTTTTCTCGTGAAGGCGTACTGGCTTGCGTCGACAGCACAATAATCGTTTTGTATAAAATCGTTTGCTACCCCTCTCCGTCCCCTAAATTATAGCGGCGCGGTGGTTATTTATCTTTTTATGAATTTTTTTTTTCCTCCACACTAACGCAAAGGCCGGTTTTTATTAATAATTGGAACCTTCGTCGGCTTTGCCACCCTACCGAAGAGCGAGACCGACGGCTGTTCTGCACATTATACACGAGTACACATGCAGCAGCGTAAGCGTGTGCAGTATAAAATATATATATATATACCATTGTGTTGTGCGCATAATACAATTTTTCTCGCGTGCAATATATTATGACACGCCTGTGTTCTAGCGTGTGACTGCCCGGTCGGCCGGTGCCATCGACCCCGACACGACAAGTCCGTCTGATCGACAGACCGACCGGGACGCGGTCACATGATCAAACTTACCGCACACGATTGGGATTTCGATGTGTTGAAAAATATTTAAAAATTGAATCCGTAAACCGGCCACAATCGGAAGTTGTCTAAAAGAAAATCATTCCTTGTAAATATTTATAAAAGTTCACGGTCCTTGAGTACCAATGTGGTATCGATTTATATACAATAATTGGTATTGGATATCTTAAAGTATTTATTGTACTCGCTGCATACTATTGTAAAACAATACGTGTAAATTTAATAACTTAAGTTTATGTCCGTGTACCGATTAATACTAACATTAAGTGTACGTGAACCGTGCGAGTTAAGAACAGTCGACGAATAACACAATATTTATGAAAAAAAAACTTTGTTTCGTGTTATAAAAATAAAAAAATGACTAACACCGGAATTCGCAAGGTAATGTATTACGTTTTTGAACTCGTCGTTGTGCGAACCACTTTCTACACTTAGTATCTCTTGGGCGCTTGATTCCGAAAAAAAAAATCCAAAAATCCCATACGGTCGCAGTACGTGCAAAGTACAAGCCGGAGGAAGAAAATCCGTCGACAAGTTACTGTAAAATATTACGCCGATTTCATTTCGCTCGTAACTATGTTGTGCGAACGGCACAAAGTGCACAGGTACGTCGACGAACACGAGCCAGACGTAGGTCAGGTGCCAATTACAGTACACGAATTATTGCCACGGCGATAGGCGGACGCGTGCACAGAACCAGTATTGAGCATTCATCCAGATAAATTGTCTAAATTAATAGAAAATAAAAAATAGATTAATAATTAACCATCTTTTATCTTGTCTAGATAATAAATAAAATTAGTTATCCGATGAACTATCTTAGATGAGTTCTTGAGTTGTCTATCATTATTCATCTAGAAAAATAAATACCAGTATATTTAGTCGAAAAATTCAAAAAATTGAACTTGAAAGTTAAAAACTAGTAAAAATGAAAAATTAATGAAAACTAACCTTGTTCGTCCGTTTTTCGTTCGCCGGAGAGTCACACGATCGCACTTATCTGTGCCGTCCTGCAATATTATTATTATACTCTTTGTAACTATAGACCTTATATATACTTAAATATACTATAAGGTATAAGGTATAAGATTTATGGTTATAACACAACCGTCGAAGCGTTCCTTGGATTTTTCCACACCGTTATTCCGCGTAATTTTATCAACAATATGACGTTTTCGACACGTCGCTCCACTCGCCCGTCGTATTTTACACTTGAATCAAAATATTCAGACAAAAACTTACGGTAAATAGTACATATATTGTAGTGCTTAATCGTTATTAATATTTTGACCAGCAGCTTTTTTTGTAAATTTTTCATTATGCATACTGCTGCTGATTGTAAAACAAATGTTTTTTTTTTATTATTATACATATATATATATATTTTATAAATCTTTTCTCGACATCACAAACACATATATTCTTTAACTTGATATTGAGTACACTCGACTACGACAAAAAAGATTTATTATTACATATATAATATATTAAGATCTTTATTATTTTCGACGATATTGTTGATATGTGTGATATAATAAACGTATTGCATAAATAGAGTACACACTCAGTG